CTGGCCGCGGGCGCGGCGAGGGCCACTGGGAGCACCCCCCGCCCCCCCCGTCGCCCCCTCCTTCACGAACCTCCCGTGGCAGCCACGCACTGCCAAACTTGACTGGCATCAAATCCGGATGCGACTCTCTCTCATGCCCCGTGAGGGTGCGTCCCGAACGAACTGCGTCACAGAGACCAGAAGATCCCCAATCACGACCTGCTCCGAGACCCCCAGGGTTCGAACAATGTCGAATATCACCCAAATATACACCTTTCCCCGTGTATCAAATACCGCCAAGAACTCGAGTGGGAACGAAGTCTCCCTCCCGAGATCCACCGGGCACCTGCTTAAGAAATTATCCATCTCTTCCGTTAGCTCGCTTAGCGCGCCAGCTGTTTCACCCGATCCGACGTGCCTCTGACGTGCACGGTTTCTTGCGTGTTTGTTCGGAGCTCCAAGGCTCGAGCTAAACAGTGTTTGCTGTGTTCGTGTTGTGTTCGTTTTCTCTCGTGCTGTCTTCGTTCCGCCTTCGCTGCCAAACGAAAGCCGTCCACGAGATCGCCCAAACACCGTTTACGTCGAGCCCCGCTTGCCAGTACAGTCGGACCCAGGCCAAAAGAATATCCCTCAGGAGCAAGAGGCCCTCCGCCGGCCAACACATTTGTTTACCAGCGCAAGACAAACCCTGTGGCGAAACCGCCGGCCAACACACGCAGAACATCCAGGGGCACCCTCCCAGGGTGCACAAGAACATCCAACTGACGCGAATAACATTAGGGTGCCCTCTCCAAGCCGACGTCGACCTTATGCGTCGGTCCGACGGACGCCTGGCATTTTTCGGTCATCACTCGGCTTTCCAAAGGGCGTCCGGGACGATCCCGGCACCCCTGGAACGCTCACAGCGAAGCGCGGCTGCTGACAAGCATCCCGAGGCTGGAAAATCGCTGGGACCCGACGAAAACTGGCGGAAGTTACGCGGAAGCGTGGGGAAATCATAACACGGAGCTCTTTCCTCCAACGCAGCTCGAACACAAGGGCCTGCGGGCATGTCTTGAATTGACGGCGCCCGAAACACAGGATCCCGAGCACGCCGCCTGGCCGAGCGGGGAGCGTTTGGTGAGCCCGCCCCCCCTCGGACACCCCTCGGGGTCACCACTCCCTCCAGGGTTCTAGACAAGGAAAGTAAAAGCCGCAGTGCCTCGGCGCGAAGTCTCGGAGGTCAACGAACGCGCCTGCAGCGCGTCAAAACATTGCACAGCTCAAGGCCCTACTCGGACCGCGCCGCCTTTTCTCTGGGTCCCAAAGGCTGGAAACGGGGGCTGGTCGTCCACCAGGTATACTTGACCTGGCTCTGGGTGGCAACCGACCTTCTGCGGTCGCCCTTCTTAGACTTGATCTTAACTGCTGGCTCGCTCAACCCCTCGATCGGAGCACGATGCGGCCCCCCGCCGTCGCCCTCGCGCGGCAGGGCGCCTGGGCGGCACCAGCTCGGCCTCGCGCGCGGACAGAACCAGCAAACCACAGGAAACACCAGCGCGGCGAGCATGAGCCCAAGGCTCACACCCGATATCGGCACGGTCAGGCTCACGCAGTGGCCCTCAGTCGCGACTCCCTGCGCGGTCACTGGAGTCAACGCACTTTCGCCCACCTCCCGCGGTGCCTCGCACAGCTCGGTCGAGCCCCCCTGCGCCGCCGTGGGGGGCGACGCGGCCACTGCGAGCAACGCCTTTAGCAAGTCCGGCTGGGCCTGGAAGTCGGCCGGGCCGGCCCCGACCGCAGCAAACCTCGAGGATCCTGGCGCGGGCACCTCCTTCAGCCCACAGCTCTCACGGAGCCGCTCGGGGCGAGTCCTCGGAAGCACCTTCGCGCCGAGAGCCGCCTGGTTGTTCTCGCCGCCCGCAGGCTCGATGGCGATGGCCTTCTTGGCTACCAACTGCTGGGTTCAGAGCGTCTCGGCGGCAAGTTGCTGGATCCGCCCTGTGCCCTGGCGCCTCGCCAGCGCTCTCGCACTCGAGCTGTCGCATCGCCAGCTCATGCGCACACTGTAGCCCATGAACGTGAAGAGCGCCTCCAGCCCAAGCCCCTCGCTGAGACCTCGAGCTCCAGCGCGCCACTCGGCCCCGCAGCTGCTAAGCGACTGCGCATCTTGACGACAGCTTATCCCGAGCATTGGGCGCCCGCGCGCGGTGATGTGCACGCTGGCCTGGCTCTCGCTCTCCTTCGTGCCACCTGCCCAGTCGGAGTCTGTCCACGCGACCAGGTCGATGATGTCCTGCGGCGTGGTGGGCCTGCCCATCCTCGCGCCCAGGTCCCTCTTGCCCTACAGGTGCCCTGCCGCCCTCTTGAGGGCTCGCATGTCCGCCTCGCGGGACGATGCGATACACGAGGTCAGGTAGATGATGATGTCGAACTGGGCATCCTCGCGGTCGTGCAAGTAGAACAGCAAGCACATGGTCACGCTCCTGAACAGCTTAGCTTCGTCTGGACTGAGATCGGGCGCGCCACCCCCGCCTGTCCCGCGCGCCTCCACCCCTGGGGTGGCGCGCGGGTTGGTCTCCTGAAGGCACAACCCCTCCGGCGCCTTCGCGAGGTATTTCTCGTTTGGCTGGATGTAAGCGGCGTCGGCCTCTCGCACGCGCTGCCTCTTGAGAAACTCGCAGTCGGCGCCTTCGCCCTGCAGGCTTGACCACGTCGCCCTGATGTCGCGGCCCAGGTCCAGCGCGAAGCCGGACCCTGCAACTCTAGGCGCGGCTGTGCATGTCGCCCATGTGTAGCTCCACTAGACATGGGGGCTCGGCGCGCCAGAAGAACTGCGGCGCGGTCGGCGACCGCTCGAAGCCCCTGGCCACGAGCTGCCCCGCGGCGAACTTGACCGAGCGCTTCCCTCCAGCACGCCGCCCTGGCAACTGCTTCGCAAGCTGCCACGCGTAGTCCTCGGCGTCGCCCTTCGCGCGGCACTCCTCCAGGACCTCAGGTGGGCACTCGACCCGCGCGCCCTCCTCCTCGGGGACGCGGCAGCACGCGTCCTTCGCGTCAACCGTGGAGGCGGGCCATCCGTGCATCAGAGCCACGCGGTCCACCAGTCGGCTGTCGGCCATGCTGCTCCCTGGCGTGAAGAGGTCGTCGCGATACTCCCGCCGCTTGAACTCTCGCGCGGCGCACCTCGACTTCGCGATCCTGCACCCGAGGTTCGCGCCCCACTTGTAGACGTGATCCCAACGGGCACTGATCCTCTTGCCGACGGCCTCGCTCCGCTTGACAAGCTAGCACACCCCGTGCTGCTTCAGGCCGTCGAGGGCCCGCCGGGTGGAAGCCTCAACCAACTGCGAGTCCGACGCATCGTGGGGATCTGGGGCGCCCATGCCCCTGAGGATCTGCAGGAAGTCAGGCCGAACGTCATCGCAGTGCTCAGCTGCTACTCCGCTAACTCGAGACCTCGCAAGGGCGCCGCGTGCGTCACCCTCCTCCGCAGGCCGCTTCGGCGATCGGCCCATCGGAGGTGATTGCGGAGCCGCACTCGCTGGCGCTGCAGCCCGCGGCGCCATGGGGGTGTCGTCCCCAGCGCCTCCCGCAGCCGACGTCGATGATGTTGGCCCCGCCTGCCCGCCCCCAACAGGCGCCTCGGCGCCGCCCGCCGCGCCGGCTGAAGGCGCCGCCGCGGGCGTGCCCGTCTGGGCCGCTGGCCCGCCCGGCGTGGCGGGCGCGCTGGACTGGGCTGGGGCGGTCGGGTCTGGCTGTGCCTCAACCGCCTCTTGCGCCGCCAGGTCGGCGCCCGCGGCGGCAGGGGGCGCGACGATCGGCTCGATCCCGCGCGGGGCCGTGCCCTGCCCTCGGCGCTGCCACGGCATGTGCGTGATCGCCGCCACGGCGGTGCGATTGAACCTCCGCTCCTCGGGCAGCCTCGCGACGGTCCTCGTCGCGATCAGCTCGCCCGTCTCGAGGGCGCAGGTGCGCTCGTCGGTGTCGTAGCTCTTCCCTAACCTGACTGCCCTCGCAAAGTCCATGTCACCCTCGTGGTGCACCTTGCCTCTCGCCCTGCGGTTCCTGCCCCTAGGCAGGCGCGCCAGGACGGACTCTCCTGGGGCGGCCATCTCCCTGGCGTAAGCGCGGCCGTAGAGGTCTCCATGTGCGGCGCGACCGCTCGCCTTGATCCTCATGTTGGTGCATGCCCAGCCCGCGCGGCGCTGCAACCACTTGTGCACGGCCGTGCCTGGGCGTGCCCTGGCCCCCAGTCGCACCTCCAGCGTGCTCCTGCTCGTGCGGAACTGCGCCTGGATGATGCCGTTGGCGTTCTCGGAGGGGTTCAACTGGGAGCTCAACGTGGGGGCAGGTTTCACGAGCGCAAGGTTGGGCAGCTCCGCCTCGACCTTATCGGCCAGGTCCATCATGGCGCCCTCGTGGTCGGGCCTTAAGATAACCTCACGATGGAAGAGGCCCGCGATGAACGCCACCGTGGCTGCCGCCGCATAAGGGTCAGCGCGTCGGTCAGGCTTCGGGGCACTCCTCGTGGCACCCGTGTCAGCGTCCGCGACCACCAGTACCACCTCCTCGTCCTGTCTCTGGCCATCCTCGGCGCGGGGGCCCGCCTCCGCGTCGTCGGCCGCCTCGCCCTTGAAGAGCGCCAGGTCGAGCCCGATCGCGGGGGGCGATCCACCTCCGCATCTAGCAGCTCGCGGGGCCTGTCGCGCCCCCGTCCCATCTGGCAATGCTCACGCCAGCGCCGCGGTGGGCAGTGCTGGTTCTCCTCGCGCCGCTGCCTCTCCTCTGGCGTCGGCTCGCGGACGTCGTGGAACGTGGTCGGCTCCAACGCTTGCCCCGTCTCCGCCTGGCGCCTCATCTCCTCGCGTCTTAGCTCGCGGTAGTCATCCGCCGCCGCCCCCACCTTGCGTCTGCCCTCGTGCTCGACGAGCCGGGCCCAGCACTGAGACTTGGCCCCGTAATGCGGGGCGCAGATCTCCGCGAGGCGCCTCGGCGCGGCGTCGATCCTCGAGCTCGGCCCGGGCCCCGCCGAGGCATGG